GACGACATAAGTTGAAGCGCGCTGACGTCATGACTTTGACAGTTCGTCTCCACCGCAACCAAACAAACGAAAGGAAGAAGAAAAAAAAGCCAATCGAGGGAATGCGCAGTTTTTTTTTTGCAGTATCAGATCTTTTTCCGGAAAAGGAAAACGCATGCATAAAATGTAGAAATAATTTGCATGTTTACATCAAAATCCAGTAGCAATTTCGGGAACAGCGCTGGTAAGAATTCCCAAGACTAAACATTTTAATTCAGTTTATTACTTTTATTCGAGTACATCGTTCACGTCTTTGCTACCCTCGTTCCCCCCACCTCAAGAACCGCAGTAAAAAAAAGTCCAGCTACTAATTTCATCCTTTATGCGGAGAATGAAAACATATGCAGGTGCATTTTAGATTAGCTACGTGTTATCTTATCAACACGTACACTTTTCAAACGCCAAAAGCATCGCTTCGTCCTCCGACAACTAAATATCTTAGGAATTTCTTTGCGCGGCGATGAACAATGCGCAAAACTTTTTGTAGCGTGAGCTACACTGGCCGAGGTTGAGCAGTTTCGCGCGGCTGTCAAAGAGCCGTGCTGCGCAAGCGCGAGGAGCAGTGACGTCACACGGCGCACAGCTGGCGCGCCGGAGCCGCCGCCGCCGCGCGCGCCTCGGCGGTCTGCGCATGCGCGAGGAGCAGTGACGTCACACGGCGCACAGCTGGCGCGCCCGAGCCGCCGCCACCGCGCGCGTCTCGCCGGTCTGCGCATTCCAGAGGAGTGACGTCATTGCCGCGGCAGACGCACTGGCGCTGCCGCGTGCTCAGCTGTGCGCCTCCGTTGCGCAGTAGCCAAGTCTGACGCTGCACCGGAGCCACTTGATAGCGCCTCCCATTTTGTGCGCATAAGCTCACGCTACGTATATCCTGGCACCGCATGTTTTGTTTTTCTTTTTTAGTGAGAACGAGTCTAGGTTTACTTACCAATTAAAATATAAGGAGTGTTTGGACAGTGATGCTTAAGTTCGGGTTGCCATTTTGTCAGGATATTGTTGAATGAAGCCTCACTGCTGATGCTGAAGCACAACAGGAACACGTCAGACTGCAACGGAACAAGAGAAGGACATACCGCGATTTACGATTTGTAGATGCATAAGACTGACGAGAAAAAGAAAAAAAACATTGAGCAGCTGACAACACCTTAGCGCTCTTACAACAGATTATTGCGAAGGCTTCTGAAATTCTGAAAAAAAGAAAAAAAAAATTGAAAGAGCATGGATAACATCAATGGGGTGTTAATCATAGAAGGCTGAAATATCTGAGCGCGTAGACAGGAATGATCGACTTTGTCGTCTAATTCAAGATTGTAACCCTGTGCTGCAGCAGATGTATAAAAAATGCATAACTATATACAAGTTTTGAATACAAAAAATATCTTCAAAACCAACATTTTGTTTGATTGCGTTAATAGATTCAATGTGCTCACCCCTAGCACTGGAACTCCCTCACCAGCGAAATAGTTATCGAACGTGATCTCACTTTAATTCGAGACAAATATTTGCATTGCGCGTTTTTTGACATTTTGATTTATCCTATGTTTGTTCCTGTTTTGTGTGTATGTTTATACAGCCTCAAGTTAGTCTGCCATGGGCGACTTGTCTCTCACCTGTAGATAAGCAATTTAGCCAGCGCAGTACAACCGCCAGCCAGATAGAAACGAGCAGGGGTGGGGATTGAACCTGTTCCTGTCTTATAGTATTTACTGCTAGTGTAATTTAATTTTGTTTTGTAAAATTTTCTGTTGTTGTGTTTAGGGTAACAAAATGGTGAGTTGGGTCAGTTGGTTCATAATGGGAAAAGACAAGCGCCGAAAGACTAGGACAAAGAAAACCTAGGACAAAGTACTAGTTAGGGTACTTTTCTCTTTATCCCCCACTTTCATGTGACATATTCATGTAAATGTTTTTTGGCAGCGTTAAACCTGAGCTTGCAACCGAATACGCAGATGAGAAAATGTCCCGAGTCATTCCGGCAAAACTTCAGCCGGATGTTTCAGACATCACATACCCCAGGGTAAGAGAGAGGACGCAGCCTTTCGTAGTCCTCTTGTCCTGCCGTGTCCCACAGCGTGAGATTTGTGGTTATGCCGTCACAGAGGAGAGTGCCAGCGTAGTTGTCAAACCTGAGAGGTTCAGAAACATGACGAAGGATGAAACACTCGATAAGCATAGCCTCCAATCAAATATTGATTAGAAAAGCTAGGGAAATCATGCTTTCCCGTTGTCGGCATTATTGTCTGGAGATGATATAAGGAAGAACATGGTATGTTTGTAGTAACATGCGTTTCACACAAACTAAATATCTTATTTTGTTCGTAAGGAATCTCATTTCACCGTTCCGCACGGCACAATACGACTAAAACCACATGACGCCACACTTTTTCCCAACAATAACAATCAGGCCGGTTTTTCTTTTTAAAATATTAAACTGTTAAAAGTCATCAATGTGGCAAATGCATCAAGCCATTTGAACTACTCAAGTATACATGAGAGGACCTCCCCAAGCGTGGGCGAGAAGAGAATGACGTCAGAGAACGAAGCATACACTGTAGGTTCGTAGTCATTTCCCGGAAACGCTCCCGTGGTGAAGGCAACAAGCAGACAGGTCTTGCCCACCATGCCATCGCCCACGATGACCATCTTGATGGGCCGGCTCTGTGCCATGGCTACTGCCTCTAGGAAAAGAAAAAACGATGCCGCAAATGTACAACTGCACAACACACGAAAATCACGCATAAAGTCAAGTCGAATCATGTGCTGACCCGTGTGGATAGCACTAGGGACTTTTCGGAGACCGTTTTCCCACCTCCGCTACGTACGCTTTGCGGAACGAAGACGCCGGTACTGCACATGCGCGACGCTAGCCTTGACAGCAGAGTCCCTGATCTCGTAGCGGGTTACGGCGGAGAACGTTGCGGGACAGCGGAAACGATCTACGAAAACTCCCCACTGTCATGCGTTTGTGTTTACCGTCTCATTGACCGCGCGACAATCCTCACGTGCTGACACAGCAGCAGGTGAAGGCGAGGTAAGATCACTGAAATGGGGAAAAGATAAGACTTCGGACTCCACACCTTTTTTTGTGCACTCTCGTCCCCAGCCACCTAATAGGCCTATCCGACATGTGCGACGAAAAAGTATTAAAACGTATCAACCTGGGGGAGGCAAACCGAGAATGCTTGACGGTCACGCTTATATCCTGATTCCTGAATGTCTCCTTTTGGCTTGGCGACGGCCAAACAATGTTTTCGCCCATACTGGGAGCGACAACAATTCAAAATGGCGGCGCCCTTGTGAAAAGGGCGCTTCAGGGATTTGCGCGCAGGATCAATGCCTTCCCAATGCTTTCGCAGCGCTCCGAGTGATGGGGGTCATAAAAAGCAACTCCTTAGGTTCCACCCCTTACCGCAGCACGCGTGACGAAAGCAGTCGACAGGGTCTGTGCTCTGTTTCACTTCTCTTCGAAGATGGACCGTAGAAGACGCATACTAACCATCTCGACCAATCGGTCAATAAGAGCATCACGTGACTGGGCGCATTCAGCCGGAAGGTCAAGCAAGAGTCACGCTCTGAGCGCAGGATCGGCTGGGATGGTGAAACGTAGTAGAATTCATTCTTGAACAGCGGACGGCCTATGGTTGGTTGATTTGGTGTTTATGGCGCAAAAGCTACTAAGGCCATAGAGCGCCAAAAACGAGACTATTGCTGGAAAAGGTTTGGAGAGAAATGATGATGATGATTAGGAGTTTATTGGCGCAGCAGCAACGAGGGCCATAATGCGCCAAACTTAACGTATTTAGAGCATATTATAACAAAAGTTTACTTTGAGGCTACATATTTACAAATGGTATAAATATCCAGTTTGTTTTAAAAAGTCTAAGACACGGCTGAATGGAACTAAAGGTTTATCACCAAGCAAAAAAGAGGGATGAAATGGGAGATGATCCCTAAAAAGTTCGAGAAAACATGATTGACGGAGTGGTTGATGGGACGAACAATGCCACAAAATGTGCAACACGGTCAGAAGCTCTCCAGAATGTTCACATAGTACAACATCCTCACCACGAAGCAGATACTGATGTGTCACACGGGAGTGACCTATTCTTAGACGGCATAGAAGAACCTCCACACGACGTTCCCTGTTGTAAGAGCTCTCCCAAACGCCCAGAACGGGCTTGATAATGTGAAGTTTGTTGTTGCTCTCTGTATCCCACTCCAGCTGCCATTTGAGAAAAATAGATTTCCTCAGAAGTGGTTTCAAGTCTTGGTAAGGTAAGCAATTGAATGTTATAGACGAGCCTTGGGCAGACACGGCCAATTTATCCGCCTCTTCATTGCCCGAAATCCCAACGTGGCTTGGCACCCAGCAAAACTTAATGTCCCGACCGCGTCGCAGGGCGCTATTGATCTTACCATGTAGGTGTTGTGCAAGGCAGTTCTTTGTGGGCATCAGGGAGGACACAGCCAATAAGGCACTTTGTGAGTCGACAAAAATTACAGCTTTCATAATACTATTGTCAAGTATATGTTCGACCACTAGTAAAATAGAATAAAGCTCTGCAGTGAAAATGCTTGCCCTAGAGTCAACTTGTGTGGCTTTACTGTAGGAGGCGGAATAGAAAGCACACCCTACAAAAGACGACGATTTGGACCCATCTGTATAAAACTCCAGGTAGTCTGCATATTTTTGTTGCAAGGAGAGGAACTCCTGCCGGAGGATTTGTGGTGAAATGACCCGCTTACTGTATTTTGCAAGTGACCAGTCACAGAAAATCGGCAGAACATTCCATGGAGCAACCCTATGAGTGTTTTTAAGCAAGGGAATCTCATGGAGGGGGATATTAAGGGATTGACAAGTACTTTGCAAACGGAGGCTTAATGGTCTAACAATGCTCGGCTTGTTTTCGAAAAGCTGTGAACTTCTGCAAGCATGAAGGGCACTGTAGGAGGGATGCTTTGGATTTGAACTACTTTGTAAGCGTAAGAGACGCTGAGGTACTGCCTCCGTTTCTCAAGGGACATTTGATGCGTATCAGCATACAAACTCTTCACAGGAGATGTGCGAAATGCACCTGTAGAAAGTCGTAGTCCAAGGTGGTGTACTGGGTCAAGCATCCGGACGGCCTATGTATGAGTGACCTAACAAAACCCTGGACAATAAAACAAACAAAAAAATTATGATGAGTCTTTTATGGAGCAATCTTGTCTTTTATTCAGTGTGTGTGTGTGTGATTATGCAAATCCAACCTTTTGACTGCGCTCTGATATATGGTGAAACGAAGTATAGCCGTCATTGGCGCCTGAAGAGGCTACGAATAGGACCACCACAGACCACGTGCCACGTGGCATAACTATCCGCACAGTTCTAGTAAGAAAGATAGAGCGTGTCCCGAAACATACGCCAAAGCTTTCTTAAAAAAAGCTACGCATCGCAACTTTAGTACAATACTACGCTTCTCACGCGCTCAAAATTTTTCTGAAAATTACTGATTTAATGGTTTCCGATGACGCTGAGCAAGTTTCTAATTGGAACCATATGTCCATTTTCATTAATTAAAAAGTTAATTAACGAATTTGAATTAATTAGACGACTGATCGTTACGATTAGCCCCCTATAATATGTTCCCCTGGCCGTATAACTCACCTCCACAAGCGGCATAAGTGTAACTTTTACGGCTTTTTTAAAACAAATCTGTTAAGTTTAAAAAAAACCACCCTGTATATATATATATATATATATATATATATATATATATATATATATATATATATATATATATATATATATATATATATATATATATATATATATATATATATATATATATATATATATATATATATATATATCGTCTTCAAGGGCCCGCTGCCGCTATGGCGCGAGCTCCCGTAACAACTAGCGTGGCCTGAAAACACGATGTACTAAAATTCTCTTTTAATCCAGTCTGCTAGAAATACCAGTGCCACCTCATACTCAAGGCGTCGTTACCACTCGTCGTGGGAAGAAACAAACATAACCGGCTAAAATTATATCAAAATTTCCTCTCTCTCTTTCCGCTTTGCCTCGAAATCGACATTGTGACGATACCCGCAGTACGTGGGATCGGGCGTGCTGCGCGCCAAGAGCGGAAACGGCACCTGTTTTCATTGAAACCGTCACTCCATCGTGCGCGCGAGCGGTTCCTGCGGTGAATGGACTTGCAAACGGCACGGAATCTCGCGAAGAGGAAATCGAGTTGCGTTGAACTCATGGCGAGTGGGATCCGCAGGGAACCTCGGCCCAGAGTCGTTATACGTCGAGCTATAAACTGATACTTGGTTGTGATAGGCAACCAGGGGATGTTATCGTGCGTGAGGACGACCGGAGATCGCGGTGATGTGTGTACGCAGTACATGAGCGGTGCTTTCATACCGAGCTCGGTGCGAAGGGGGACTTGTGTACGGCAGAGGAGAATTGACTAGCACCACCTAAGCTCCGTTCACTCCTAAGCTGATTGCAGCGATGGAAGCGGCATTGCAACCTTCTGTAGTAGGTTTTGTAGCAGGCAAAATATTGGGTTCGAGCAGCCACAGGCGATTTTGGAGGAGATGCCACCGTCTGTTGGCACGTCACTTGAAAATGTGATTGCATCGTTAAATGAGTTCATATCTGAAAAAGGATTGAGGGTTCCTGTTATTCGATACTGGAGAATGTCACCTATTATCTTCTGTAGCAATAATAGATGCAAAACAATAACATAACCTTCCTTTTCAGAAATAAGACTAAAGTCAGAATAGGTTCCACTTACAATCGGTACAAGAAAGAAATAGTTGAAAAATCAGGCACAGAGCAACACCTCATTTGAGGTAAAGCCTCTCTCCTCCACACTTTTACACTTAGTAGCTAATTGAGCCTGTAAACTCCTGTAAAACGTCGGCACAAATCAGCATATCCGCCGAAACGTGTATATAGACAAAAATACGTCCCCGCAATTTTTATGAACACCGAACGCAAGATCCTAGTATAATAAACTAAAAAAAAAACAAAAAAAAAAAAAACACTTGCAAATATTATGAAAATTTACATTTGCGTTGTAAAAGAGTTCTTCGAACTAGAGTTCACTCGAAGTTGGCTGCCCTTTCGATCGATTGATGTACGGAAACTACCTCCTTGACTACCGTATTCATTCAAATAGAGACCCGCGTTTTGTCTCCTTTCTTGGCCCACCCTTTTAAGATTAGAGGTCAACCCACAGTCAACACCAAAGAATGTCGACCTGTAATTGTACTGAGCACAATTGACGAGCCAATGCGCTCCCCCGTGTCAACCGCTGCTCCTAGCACTCCGCTGCAAAGCGGGGAAGCTCGACGCGCGCGCACGCGGTGGTGTGAGGCCGTGGAGGTAGACGCTAGTGGCGAAAGTGCCACGGTACACTGTAGCCACGCCACGGAGGCATGTGTGGCGGACACGATAATTAAGTTATATCATCGGGAGTAAAATACCCTGGGTCCGTCTTATTACAGTAGCCGCCATCCCCCTATTTTGCCATTTCCCTCGCGACTGTTAGCTGCTGACATCGCCGACATCGTCTGGAAATTCAGACGACGACGGGGCCAGCGCGGTTGTGAGCAGTCTCTACACTTTCTTTCATCTCTAAGTCAAAGTGTCGATGGAACTACGAGTCAATGGTACC